CCTCTGCCCCGGAAACTGAATTAAGTGGTGGGACTTTGAGGAGGTGATTCAAGTCCAAAAGGACACTGACCTTGAATGGGACGAGTGCCCTTATATGAGCCCCCAAGGGAGCACTGTTTGCCTCTTGCCCTACGACGGGGGCAAGAAGAGGACCGCACACTGAACGAGAGACAGCTCCCAGAGGACTGGATCTGCTGCCACCGCTGCCTGATCCTTGGACCTTCCACCTCGCAAAGCACTGTGAGCAACACAATTCTATTGTGTGCCAAATTCCCACCGTCTGAAGGTGTTTTCTTTATAGCCCCAGCCTGAACAAGACTGAGACATCTGCAAGTGACGGTACCTCCTGTCGAGTCATCCTCAGGCTGCCATAAAGCAAAATACCACAGATTGAGGACTTAAGCATCATCTCCTCCTTTGCTCCACCTTTCCTAGGGGATGCAAGTCGCAGCATGAAGGTGTGGCCCGTTCGGAAGGGGCCCCCTGGCAAGGCTTGCTCTCCCTGGCTGCAAAGGGCCGCCCTTCTCCCCGTGGCCTCAAACGCGGCCTTCCCCGGTTCAGGCCGAGGGAGGCCCTCCTTGTTCCCCTCGCTCCTCAGATAAGAGAGCCAGTTCCAGGGACATGGCGCCCCACCTTGTCCGACCTCATTCAACGCCTACCTTTACGTCCCCAAGCGTCTCCTCTATAGCAGCCGTGCTGGGGCCTCCAGGGCTCCAACATGTGGAATTGGGAGAGAACACAATTCAGCCTCCGCAACGCCCCTGTGGCTCCAGGTCCCTCCCCTTTAACCACCTGGAAGCCTCTGTTCCAGCATCGTGGGCCTTAAGGACCGTGTCAAGGAGAAAGAGAAAGGCACAGGCCAGCTCTGTCGCGGCGGGTACCCTCATCCTTAAAGGTGTCCTGATGCATTTGGGCCATCCCAGGGCTACCATCCATGCCCATGTCCTCAAGAACATCTGCGCAACTCTCTCACTTCCCTCTCAACCCCGCCACACATACACGCGCCACCATGCACACACCGCACACATTCCCGTTGCACACCACAGGCCCCAGTTAGCCCCCCACCCCTGACCTGGCCCTTCCCAGAGAGGGAACTCTTACTCACTCCACTGCTGCCAGGACTCGTATTGCTCGGTGAGTTCGCAGCGATTTTCCAGCTTCCCGAGCCTGGCCCTCACTCCATCGGCAGCTGCTGCCCGTTGCTCTCCCTGCACTGCTTCCATCCCTGCGAGACCGCGGCCAAGTCGCTAGGCCAAGGCCCCAAGACCCAGAGGTGGCATGTGGGTGCAGTGCTGGCCCTCTGGGGTCCCACTGGCCCCAGAGAGGTATCCTGGTCCCCTCCTGCCAGGCAGGCGTCACTGGCTCCTGAATGCCAGGGTTCAAGTCCACCCTGGCGCTCTCTGTGGCCTGGTGCCACCTGGGCTCTTGAGGAGCTAGGGACACCCTGTTGCAGCCACGACCCACACAAACCCTGGGCATAGGCTAGCTACCCAGCCAAGGGGTCACCGTGCCCCAGCCCAGTGGTCTGTCTCCCCTCTGCCTTGCTCAGGCCTGGAAGAGGACGGGGGACAGGGGACAGGGAGCAAAGGGATGTCTTAGCCCCACTCCCTGCCTAAGCGTCCCACAGGGCTTCTCCAGTGTCCTGTGGCTGCCTCAGGAGGTGGCAGTCACCTCCCCCCCAAATCCTTGCAGATACTTTCCTCCTGACCGGCTCCGACTTCTGCCACCAGCTCGACCAGGACAGGAGGGGCTGGGTCTGACTCTGATTTCTTGCCCCGACCCCTCTCCTCCCTTTTTCCCCGCCTGATCCTGGCAGGCTGCTCCCCACATCCCTCCCTGGCTGGGACTTCCATGGTTTAGCCCTAATAATAAAAGGGGTGTGGGGGCAGCTTGCAGACAGAGGGGAAATTTCATTAGGAGGTGTTGCAAAATGATGCCCATTGCACATGTCGAAGGCTTGGGAAATTTCTACTGCTAATAAACAAACAAATGTTTTAACTCTTATAACCAAAATGAGTATGGTAGGAGCGGTAATTGGTTCGAGTAGTCTGATTGCTGGGAATCGGACCTCTGTCCCTCCCTCCCTCACCCCCACTTCCCTGCTGAGGCTGCAATCCATGTTGCTGAAGAAACATGCCGCTGATAGTCAGACTCCTCAGGGACCACCCAGAGTTGTGATTTTATTCAGTTACTTGGAACACAAGCAATAGACATGGATTGGGCTAGTTTAAGCTTAAGAATTTGGGGGTGCCAGGCACAGTGGCTCACAGCATAATCCTAGCACTCTGGGAGGCTGAAGTGGGAGGATCACTTGAGCTCAGGAGTTCAAGACTAACCTGAGCAAGAGGGAGCCTCTTCTCTACTAAACATAGAAAAATTAGCTCCCAACACCCGATATAATGTTACTTGACTATATGTCATTGAGGTGTTGCCCAAATTCTTGAATAAACACGCTTTAGCTTTGAGATATCCTCCACCTCTCAAGTATCCAATTACAAACTTCAAAAGAGGTTTACCAAATAACTGTGGCATCTTCTTGTGAACGCACTTTCTGACCTGCACGGGGGGTGGGGATGGGATGGGAAGGTCAAGGGGTGAGGTGAGGGGATAGAGGGGGAGAAGAGAACTTCATTGTTTTCAAAAAAGCTCTGCTATGCCAGGAAAGAATGAGACCTGGGTGAGTTCATATACATTTCTTTTATATTGAGACGAGTCCTCACTCTGTTGCCCTGGCTAGAGTGCCCGTGCCATCAGCCTACGCTCACTGCAACTTCAATCTCACTGGGGTTCCAAGCAATCCTTCTGCCTGTCAGTTTCCTTGAGAGCTGGACCTGCAGGCATGAGGCAGTGCCTTGCCGGATTATATTTTTTCTACGTATTTTTAGTGTACCAGCTAATTTCTTTCTATTTTTAGTAAAAGAGATCGGCGGTCACTCGGCTATTGCTCAGCTGGTCATTTTTTTTTTTTTTTTTTTTTGAACTTGCTGAGCTCAAAGGATCCTCCCTCGGCCTTCCCAGAGTGCTGAGGATTTGCCAGGCGCGAGCCACTGCGCCGAGCCCCAGCTTAACACCTCTTAAATCATCGTTTTCACATCCCTCATGAGGGAGAGATTCATTCCTATTGGTTTAACACTAACTCCAGGTGCGTGATCCTGAATCGTAGCCACTGGTGGGAATCAAGGCATGGAGGATACTCTATCAGGAGTTGAGGATCAGCTGAGCAAAGCGAGACTCCTGCTTATAAAAAAAAAAATTAGAAAACTTAGCCTGGTGTGGTGGTGGACACTTGTTTCAGCTGCTGGGCAGATCAGAGGATCGCTTGAAGCCCGGAGTTTGAAGTACAGCAGTTATGGACTGATGTCTTCTGCTATCTAGCTAGGTGACATGAGGTCTCTGTCTCAAAACAAAACAAGAAACAAACATCAGGGAGAAGCTGACTTCTGACCAGCCAGGCCTCGACAAAGTGCAGGCTGGCTGGGATTTGCCATGCTGCCGCTTTAATGGTGTTTGATGGTGTGTATATGGCTCTCTCCGATGTATAACCCGACCACCAAGCTCTTTTCCCTGACCAGGTGCTCACCCCTTGTGGCCACCGTTGCCTTAAATAAAGGACCTATGTGGTTGAGTGCGGCCACTCACTGCCCCCGCCCCACCCTGGTGCTGATCCACCTCTCTCACGTAGCTCCCACATAGTGGTTGTGGTCCGGCCTCATCCTGTTCCTCGCCTCTGCTGAGGTGGCCTCTGGTCCGCAGGTGGCTGGGAGTTGTCCGGGGCTGCAGGAGGAGTGACGAGTCCAGGAGACGCCAAGGCTCTGCCAGTGGCTTCTGCAGAGGATTGATCTGTGAACTGGGTTTGGTGAATCTGCAAGCAGAATAGCAACTGCCCAACAGCAGGCTGATGCCTCGTCCCAGAAATCATGGACTCGGTAGAGAAACTAACTGCCTTTTCGGTTTCTTGGTCTAAGTGGTGGGAATACCCCATTTCCTTAAGCTAAATTTGGCAGCTGATTCTCTGACATTTGCTTTGACACTTTGTTTTTTTGTGAAGGTACAATCCTCAATTGCTTTCTAATGCACCATCTTGCGCTGTCATGTATATCTTTAGAACATGTTTTTAGAGCATTTTTGTGAAAACATGGATAATAGTTCATTAATTTGTGTGATTTCCCGAAATACTGAGCGTCCACATGGGAACTCCTCAGATGCAGCTTCCGACAGCTAGCCAATTATCAAACCGAAGTGCTTGGCAGGAATCTGTGGCTGATGACGCATGGTATGTTTGATGGTTGAGAAGTTCTGTTCTGGTGTTTTAATCTTGAAAAATGAGCCATTGTGGGTTGACCTGCACCAGAGTTAATAGGTGAGCCTGAAAACTGTAAAATGGTAAGTGAATCGCCTTAACCTATGTGTGGAATTATCAGCACAGTTGATGTTACTATTTAGTGTCAAAACCTGACCTCCCGATCTGGCATGAGTGCTCGTGGCTTTTTGTGTCTCCCCAATGTCATGTTGATTATTCCTAGATGTCATCTGCAGAAATACACGGAGAGTTAAGGAGGTATTTGGGGGGAGAAGTCCACCAACTATGTAAGACCACACCGCATGCCTTCCAGAAATCCAAAACGGACTGCTGACAGGCATCTGGCCCAAGGATTGAGACACAGGATTGTGGAATACCAATGCCCATTTCGCAGATGGAGGAAGCTAGAGGCCCCAGAGAAGGACTAGGTGGTATGCACTTCCTCGGGGTCACACTGCAGAGAGGCAGAGGCCAGCTGCTGGCTGGTCTGCGGGAATGGACCAAGGGTGGGTTGTAGGTGAGAGTGTGGGTCTCTCCGTATTTGGGCAAACAGGGTCACGGAACGTCTGGGTTTGGTTCATATTTACCTATGCCCAGGGCCTTACGTTCACCTCAACCTCCATCGCTGAGGACACCTGGGGCCCTGTGGGTTTGCAGAAGGCGTTGGTCCACCAGCCAGTTCCCTGGCCTGTGCAGGGCGTGGGGGCCCAGAGTGAATGCCCCCTGGGTGAGGAGAGCCTCAGAGGGTGGGGGGCATTGTTGCTGGGTCCTCGTTGGGAGCCGTACTCCAGAGCAGCCCCCCAGACCAATGACCTTGCACCTGATTGCCTGTGCCACTTGGAGAAAACACTGAACAGATATGGGTCCTGGAGGAGGAGTTGGCTGATCCCGGAGGCAGCCCTGCCCTGTGTTCTCTGGCAACAGACTTCAGATTGCTGCCTGGTCCTTGGGAGCTCGGGGCCCAGGCCTGGTCCCTGTGCTAGGGCTAGGCTGATTCCAGTGTCGGCTCTGTGCTCTGAGAGGATAACTGCTCTGGGTAGCCAGGGTGCAGACGCCGCCTGCTCGTGCTGGGGCAAAACCTCCCCCTGTAGCTCAGTGGAGCAAACCAGATGTGGCTCTCCTTCTAGAACTGCTCCTCCCTTCCTTCCCCAGCTGCCTGAAAGAACACAAACTTTCCCAAAGTTTCCCCCCCTCTCTTGCAATGCAAAACACATGCTTTGGGATAAGTCCAGTCCATTTGGAGGCAACATTTAGCGCGGATTTGAGAGTTTCGATTGATTCTATCTAGAGCCCTTTTCTCTCTCCCTTGAAAACTCATGCTTTCCCATGAAAGTGGCCATGTTGGTGGCAGTACCTGGCCTCTGGGGTCACTGGCCCCAGACGAGGTATCCATGGTCCCCCTCCCGCCCAGCAGTGGCCGTCATCTGGCTCCTTCAACCAAGGGTTCAGTCCACTGGCGCTCTCGATGGCTGGTGCTCA